GGGTTTCTTCTCCGAATTGTTCGCAATTTTTCGCTGAATAGCCAATTACAATGTGACCGAATGTCATGAGATTCAATTATTTCCTTTCAAAGAAGAGAAACCTTCGAAAAAAAAGGGTCTGGTCTGGGCTGCCCGTCGAATCTTGATGGGAACACGGCTATGCTCCCACTAGTACAGCTAATACTTCTAATTTACAAATACTTCAGGCTATTTGCATTAGTGTTGAGGCATTTGCTTTCTTTGGAGTGTTGTTTAGAGTAGAAGCGTTGTAGAGGCAAACTAATGGCGCACTATCACACATACACGTTCGGAGAATCGAATTCCCGGTTGTACTCACCCAAGCCAACCAGACGGTCCACCACTCCGGGGCCGGTAAATTGGTGCCACAGTAACTCAAAAAGATCTAAGCATTGACTTATACATCATCTGGGAACAACAGGTATTCCTACAGACCATATACACACTTAATTGTAAAGGGAAGCCGTATGCTAGAGTGCAGCCACAAAGCCATTCAAAGATTGGTCAAACTCAAAAGCTTTTGAACTTCATTGAATCTTCAGTTTTTCTTTGAAGTATTTCTAGGACATACACACCCTCGAAGGAATGTTACCATTAGTATTCATTGAGTTGTTTATACACTGTCAGTTACTAACTTAATGGCGTATCAGGTTGACTTTGTGTATCAGCACTCNTTCTCAGATTTCGGAAAAGCTGTCATCACTTTGAAGGGTTCCATGGGATTTCCAGTCCTCATTTTATGCATGCTTACTTGATTTCATGGATTCCAAATAGGTCTATGTTCTTACAGCACATCAAACTTCAACCTGAAAGATCAACTGAGAGAACCACAAGAACAAGAAACATCTTTTCATTTCCATTCGTTTGAACTATCGAATAACCGTGTGTCATGACTGACGTTTGTTGAGAAAAAAAGTGAAGTGACGATTTCCTTCGAATAAATGAGATCAGAGATTTGTTAGATATCGCTCTCCTCCTTTTCAAGCAATACGTCCATTTCTTCTGCCGTGCTGTCGCTATCGTCATCACTATTATTGTCTCCTTAAAAACTATTGTTATTTCAGAGCCAGATAAAAATGCTTTTAAGTCTGAGGTGGATTAGCCCTCGCCGTTTTTACTTTCATGCGCCAAGTTTAAAATTACATTGCGCTCACAGCTTATGGAACAGGGGCATCTAACAGGACACACTCATAGAAAGCTATCGTTTTTCAGTAATATTCATACATTCCAGTCCATTCAGAACTGCAGTGGCGTTAAGATGCATACAAGGCTCCTTCAATGACTTGATACATACTGAGTTTTATTAACTACTTTCTCGGTAGAAGCCCGATTTCACAATACCAAAGTTTTTAAAGATTCCTTATAAGGACGAAGCTCTAGCCCAAGGATAGCGCAAAGAGCGCAGTCAGGTCGGAAAAAAGTCTCGTAAGCATAGGGCGTTGCTCGTTCCATCTAGGTAATTTTTTCTAGCCGCCTTGCCATGGCTGAATCGAGTTATTAGCCTATGTAGGAGGTCCTTCCCACTGCAGGAACGCTCTACCCACACCCGGTGTGTCTCCTTCATTTCATTTTTTGACCCATCCTTCACCTTTGCTAAATTTTTCGCCAGAGTTTGGGGTGTTCTGGAAGTAAATAGGGAGGTGCAGGTCGCGACATCGCCCACTCGGGTGCAGGACCCGGCCCCTATGGGTGGAGCCCCGCTGAGCTTAACGTGCTCTGTTGGTCTTCCCTATGCTCAGTCCCTCCCGAACTTGACCCGAACTCTCCACTGCTTTTTCTTGTAATACCCAATTTTGTGACAAACCACACACAGACATAGAAGCAGACGCGCAATTTATGCTGTGATCTTATAATGAAAACAGAGGCTGTACTTGTACAGTTCAAGACACTTAAATTCTATATAACCCACCTATTTGTTCACAGACCCGCAGTCCTCCTTCGTGCTCGACCAATCGTGTTACCTGAAAAAAGTTCAACTTCAAAAATTCCACAGCATCCATGGCTCCGAATCAACAAATGCTTTTTGCGTCTCTTTAGCCAGCTTATGTGGAGATTACTCACCTCGTCTGGGCTCTTGACGGGCGCTTCGTCAGTGATCCAATGTACTCCATCAGAGCGGAGCACAACCTAAATTGCAGTCGTTTTTGTACTCCCTGGTGAATAAACACTATGATATCAATCTCCTGCTTTTGATGCACTTATACATACGACTGCTATATTCAGGGATGTTTTCGATACTGATTGAGTGTGTGAGTGAGATATGATATTCCATCAGAACGAACAGACTGAATAAAATCGAGTAATTTAATAAATTGAAAGATTGTTGCCGTATCGCGT